ACGATAGTATTCTTTATCTTTCAGTAATCTAAAATGCATCTACTCTTTCCTTCACTTTTTTCGCGTAGATGTGTCTTGCCACTTTTGCCAGTTTCGTTCTCTCCAGCTCCGACAATGTGCTTGATGCCAAGACAGCTTTTGTATCGATTACTCTCTTCAATATCATGAACTTTCCGTTTTCTATACTTCCGGCCGTTATTGCCGTCTCAGTACAAGGCATTATTGCTCTACGTCGTATCGGGCACTTCCTATCTAACGAAGAACTGGAAACAAGCTATGAGATGAAGTCACCTTCTTCTTTTCCAGATGATCCTGTGCCTGATCCACACATTTTCGAAAGCCCAAAGGACACTTTTTTAATTAACCAATCAATTGAGGCAGGGGATCCAGATCAGGCGAGACTTGAGAATGGCTCTATTCCTCGGCATGTTGAAAAAAATTGTAATTATTCTTATTTTTCCTTATTCACACTCTAGTGGAGAATAAAACATTTCTTGGGTTGCCTTCTATAAATCTTTACATTTGCGCAATAGTTTATAAATTTTACTCAATATTCCCCCTCAGATACTCTCATATCTTTGGAAAGACCAAGCACTTCCACAGCTTGGTGGTATCGGACATAAATTGAACGCGAAAGACTCAATTGTATTTGGGCATAAATGCTCACCAGTTGTGGCAAGTATAAACATGAAGCAGGATTTTTTACCAATAGGCTTACCAAAACAGCGATAGATATGTATGCAGGGGCTTTTAGTGAACTAATTATCTCTTTGTTCTCGTCATAATTATCACAATTTGAACTAGGGACCGATTTATGGGAGGGGCATAAAAGCGTGAGGACAAATAGACCTGATACTATACTTTTTTAATCTTTTAAGTAATATTTCAACTGTCGAAGTTTCCTTAACTATTGTCATGTGATAAATTGCCTTATTTGTGGTTTATTATTGTAGGTAATTAAATCGATCTTTGAGTGTTTTTAGTCTATATCATAATTTTTTGAATAATTCAATTTTGTTGGGGAGACTTTCATTTCGTATGAAAGTGCATGAAGAAGAGATTCGAAGGTCGATCTCATCAATGCACAAGACCTCCTCCCTCGCTTCGAAGGAGGTCCAGTTGACTGCGTCAACCTAGACGCCTTATTAAAGCAAAATGGCTGCAGTAAAACGGAATTCAGCCGTCGTCTGGTGAGATCGACCTTCGAATCTATTCTTCATGCACTTTCATGCGAAATGTAGGTAGCCCCAACATTGTTATCTCAGTACATAGATCTAAACCCAGTTACGCTTTGTATCTATAATTCGCATTTATTTAATAGTTCTCTAACAAATAGTTTATCAGTTACGGACAATTATCAAATACCCTAATGGTTGCGGTATCGTCTCTTGTGGATCCTCCAAGTAAATCGAACCAGCAAGCTTTTAGTATTGAAATTCTATGATATAATTCAAATTTTCTAAGAGCAATTTAGAGTACATTAAGGTTTATGGAGTCAAAGTCTGTTATCAGGTAGACAGACTTGTTTTACGAGACGCCTGTCTAAATTATTTTTCTAAGATTTCTACTCAATCTACTGTTGAGCGACATGTTCAGTATTTACATTTTTTTATTTATTCTTACATAGATTGGCATAACTGTTGTAATTGCAGATTTCAATTGAATTCCCAAAGATTTCCAAACCCGCATTACTAAATTCATAATTACTTATCATTATAGGGCCTTCCTTTGGTATAATTTCTCCATCCATTTGAATATGACTGTCTGGTGGAAACTTCATTCTTTTGGTTCCTGAAGAGTTATGAA